ACTGTTATAAGTATAACATCCAAAAATAAAGTGTTATGACACGAAACGCGTTAGAGAGTTGCCCCAAACTACTATTCACTCACCGCATTGCCCTATTCATGTATGGCAGCCATATTGGATTTGTTATGTAAGTGTTTACCAGTTTATTGAATTTATTTTTTGATGTTACCTCACTTGGATCATTGAAATACTACACTATTGGAGTTTTTTCTCTTCTGGGCTCCTTTTTGGTGGCATCTCTGAGCCCTCTTCCCCTAAGGTGCTTTTTTGCATTGAATCCATACTTAAATGCGTGATCCCCCTGGTGGCTGAAACCGATACTGCTGGATCCTGCCAACCTGGTCTGTTTGATGTGGTGATATTGGAGAGTGGTAACCTGTCTTAGATGGATGACACCTGGTGGCTAATCCCTACCTGACAACTTCATCCGTATGCAGAGTTCCCATTCCCTAAGCACCGTGGAGTAGGTCTTATATACTCCAACGCACAATCATTTGTGCTATCTGGCTAGTGCAATATAAACTCATTCTCCACAAGCCACGACAGTCACGGAAGTTACCAGCTTCATATTTTATCACCGTTGTCACGTTGCACCTTATGGAATTTGTTTAGGACTAATTTTTGGATGTTATACTTATAACAGTATTACTTTTAACATGATTTAATACTCTTCAGCACTGCATCTTATATTTGTCTATTGATTTCTACTTTTGAGGACTCTGAGGTTTTCCTCTTGATGCTGGCTGCTTTCCACCTTTCCATCACCCAGCGCTCATATATTATTATAATTTCTGTAATACACAGAGAACAGTTAACCCTTTGATCGCCTCACATGTTAACCCCTTCCTGCCCAGTGTCATTAGCAGACTGTCAGCGCTTTTTATTAGCACTGATCACTGTATTGGTGTCACTAAGGATGTCAGTGACACCAAATCAGTTCTCACCATTGTCAGAATGCCCACCGCAGTTCTACAAGTCTCTGATCACTGCCATTACTAGTAAAAAAGAAAAAAAATCACAGTACATATACTGCCATTTGTAAACGCTATAAATTTCATGTAAACCAATTAATTTACACTTACTGGGATTTATTTCTGGGTATGATAAAGGTATTGAAACACAAAATCTTAACTTATAACATAATAAATAATTATAAAAAATAATAATATTTAATTCAATAATGTAATCAAACCAAAAACACTGAAATTTGAAATAGAACACCAGGTTCGCACATCACTGAGCTCAGTCGCAGAATCGGCACTGTCATCACTTTCAGTGTCTGATGACGAATTTCCCCACGAATCATTATCGCTCAATTCTGCAAGTGATTCTAATTCACTATCGCTGTTTTCTAGCTGGTCCAAAACCACTTTTGACCTAAAGGGGCACTTTTTGGATGCCATAGACGGTCTCAAGTTTCCAGGCAGAAAGAACGGTAAAAGTGCAGGCAGGGTACTAAACAAAGTACTAGGGACAAAACTGGGGTGAAATGGTTTCATACAGTAATGTAATCCTAACAGATTACAATGTATTGTGTGTATGCCATGCTTTTACTTTTTTTAATCTCCCACCGGTTCCGCCCCCCTGCGTCACGACGCTTGCAGGGAAGGGAACCCAGAAGACGGATGTCGGCATCGGCCAAAGGACACAGCGGGAGAGCATTGGGGGATCACAGGAAGGTAAATTACGCTACAGTGTAATCCCGAGTGTGGCTTGGGGTTACCACTTTTGGTACTGAAAATGAACCCCCGAGCCACACTTGGGATTACCGCTAGGAAGGTTACTAGCAAAAAAGTAAAAAATATTGTTTTGTTTTCAAAATTGTCATTTTTTTTATAAAGCAAAAAAATGTAAAACATACAGACGATTAAATACGACCAAAAAAAGCTCTATTCATGGGAAAAAAAGGACGAAAATTTCATTTGGGTTCAGAGTAGCATGACCGCGCAGTTGTCAGTTAAATTACCGCAGCGCCATAATGCCAAAAATGACCTGGTCAGGAAGGGAGGTAAATCCTCAAAAGGGCAAGTGGTTAATTACCACCTTAATCAGCCACATAACCTGTGTAATTAATATGTATACCCAATACAGGAGGTGATAGGAAATCCCTCCAAACTGAGGGAATGAGTTGTTACCTCCAGGGTCAACAGAACTAGTGTCCAAATTGGAATATTGCTCCTCTATTCCTGGTCTAGTGATAACCCAAAATTTGGAATTTTCCTTTATTGTCACTTTCTATGAAAAACATGACAAATTGATAAGTTGAATCTCCCTAACAGAGGAAATAGCAATACAAACAAAAACATAGCAGGTATTCTAATCCCTTTCCACACTGTCCAAAACTAATATATATATATATATATATATATAGTATTTTAGAATCTTAATTTACTATATTTTTCTTAAAATAACTAATGCTTTATTGTATCAATCTGAACACCAAGTAAGAATTTAAATACATAGAGGAGAACTGTTTACCCAAAGGAATTCTAATATGTTCATTTTTGCACCTGGTCAAAGAGTATAGCCAAGTCATTGCGACTTACTGCAGCGGCAGCAAAGCTCAGTTGAGAACATACTCACTGCCTTTTGGCTGAACAGTGAAGAAGCAGCAGCACTGTGAGGAGTTATCATTATTGTGATCACTCTGCTCTGCTTTCTCCTCTTTTCTCAGCCCAAGTTCAACTCTTTTTTTTATATTTGTTGCATTATCAGTAAAAAAAAACAATAATTTGACAGCTCAACCAGGCAAATATTATTTTCAAACAGAGTAAGGGATTGACAGGTGAATATCCAGGGAAAGTAATATTCATATTTTTTGTAACTAGTTTGAATGTGGCACCAAAACTGTTTTTTTTTTTCTTTTAGATAAAATGGTGGAGAATATTTAAGCTCTATGACAACGTTTTTGCATCCTATGTACCCACTGTGGAAATCCATCCTTCTACTTGTCCTGATAACCATTGTCACTGAAACTGAAAGTGAGTGGAAATGTTATAATTCGTATGAGAGCAAAAGGGGAGGGAAAATCTTCCAACTAGGGTCAAATGTTCTATGACAACTGTCTAAGAGTGGAATTCTCCCCACTTTGGGGGATTGCCTTTCACTGCATGTTGCATCTCCAAGACAAGAAGTTTATGGAACTCTCCCCAACAGGACACAGACAGCAAAAGGGCACTGCTTTGGCTGTTCTTCAAGTCAACTAAACCAAATGCTGAATTAACAATATCAAATATAAGAATATTATATTTCTGAGCAGACTTTATTTTAAATCTTACAGAAAAGTAAAAAAGATTTCCTCTTTAAATTATGAAATACTGCATACTAATATTTAGCATTTTTTTAGCCAGTCAGTGGCTCCTTTTCACATGTTTACAGATGCTCACCGTCTCTTAAGAAAAGGGATAAGAAAAGCCTTTGATTGAGGCACATGATTTATAATAGACACTAATATAATGATGTAGCATGAGTTTGATGTATAGCTAGGAAAAATCATTATTAAAGCTAGCCATAGGAGAATTTCGATCCCTGTGTGGTCACCCCCGTTCAACAGAAGTCTATTGTTAGGTCAATGTTTGTTGAACGATATAGCTTAAAAACTTTTGTGGAAATCGTTAAGAGTCCCACAGTCAAAAAAACAGTGTCCAGATGAGGAGAAACGTTTGTTCTGCTCACTGGCTGAATGAAAAAAAAGAATGAACCATCTATGGCTGGCTTTAGAGACAAATCACCAGCGACTATAGTGATACTTTCCCTTGCTACGAATAACAGTTAATTTATGGCATTAGCGATCTGTCACTACATCGCTGCTACAAAATCACCCTTCTGAAAAGTCTCAGATATTGACATCTCAATGTTTTCCAGCAGTATGATGCAATCAGTTACTGCAGAAAACTACAGTATAGTGTGTTTTACAGCATACTATATAGTCGGCAAAGTTTATTTTTATTTGTTTTTTTCTTTTCAGGCAACACCATGCAAAGCACATGCAATGCAGTGCAGGAAAACACAAGTAAAGACACTCAAAAGCATGTCATAGAACAGATTATAAAATGCAAGAAAATGCATGCATTTTTACAACGCAAGGTGTGAATTCAGCCATAAAAGATATTCTCCATCTGGCAGAAGATTCCTAAAGCTATATTGACTCTTTAAAGAAAGCATCAGTATATATTTTATAATAGACTTTATTCCATATGAATAATTATGAAGTACATAAAAAATTATGGTACTTCAACTTTCCTTGGTTTCATAAAGAGACTGACTTGCTGTGATAATTAGATGGATCATACACCACAGACATCTGCGACAGGGAATAACATCTTCTGATTAGCACAAGCCTGGTTGATTAACCCCTAAGAAACAAGTGGAAATAAAAAAACAAGACATACAGAGACACAAGTACATAAAAAAACTTATGTCTACATCAAGGATATTAATGTAGCTAGCATTGATTGGAAAAGCAGCATAAAAAGAACATGTTACAAGAACTGTGTGTGTGTATTCAGACAGTAAATATAAAATTACAGTAAAAGAAGAATGCACGGGTCCCAAAATATTGAATCTACTTCCATAGTCAGTGTTGTGATTCAATAAACCTTCCCAAAAAACAAATATGGCAGTGTGGTAGATTTACTAAAACTGGTGCACACAGAATTTGGTGCAGCTGTGCAACATAAATAATCAGCTTTTAGGTCCCTTTCACATGGGTGGACCAATCGGGTCTGCCTGTCCATTTCAGGCAGACGTGATCAGGCCATCCACTGCCCTTTATTGAGCATTGGATGTAAAACGTGTCCGTTTATACCAGCATGCATCTGATCCGATCCACTAAAAAGAGTTGGATGGGGATCTGTTCCCCATTCGTCTAGCGGATTGAAAGACAATCAAATGTAAATGGACAGGTGATCCGTTTACATCCAACCGCCCATAGAGGAAAGCAGGCTGTGTCCGCTCTGCATATATGGAGGGGATCAGCGGGCAGATCCCCCGCTGAACAGGCAGATCTGCTGGCATAGTCTGCCCATGTGAAAGGGGCCTTATTGTCAAAGCTTAATTGAACAATCTGAAGATAGAAGCTGATTGGTTACTATGCAAAGCTGCACCAGATTCTGTGTGAACCAGTTTTAGTGAATCTCCTCCAATGTGTTACTGACTTATGTTTCTGCATTTTACAAAATGCACTACCTATCTTACAGCTTTAGAATCCACCATTACAGAGGTCTCAGTATTGCATGGTGTGGATACAGTCTGTGTATGACAAAAGACGTGAGATAGCCATGGTCAGTTGATCCATTTGTTCACATTTTTTAATGTACAGTATTAGGAGGAGAAGTATGGAAGAGACTGATACTGAATCACAAAAAATATACTTAGAATGCTTTTTTTTTTACATGGACAATTTAATGTGAATGGACTGAGATTATCTTTATGTCAAAACAGTAATTTTATATCAACTATGTAGATCCAGAGATACATAAGCACCTGAAACTATATGAAAATCTTAAAGTTTCTTTAACCACTTTACTACCGCGCCATAGCCGAATGATGGCTACAGTGCGGTAGTTCAGTTGTGGAAGGGCATCATATGACATCCTCCCAGAACATGCCCCCTGTGCCCTAGCGGCACTGTCTGTGATCGCTGTGTCCTTTGGACACAGCTGATCACATGACATGGTAAAAGGTCAATCACAGCAGCCTTTTGCCATGTGATCAGCTGTGTGATCAACTATGTAAATACACTTTCTAGTTATCAGCAGTACTTTCCTCACGCTTGCAGAGCGTTTGTAAAGTACTGCTGTTAACCGGCAACCGTCAAAGCGGACATCTGCACTGATGATCAGGGCACTTGTTATCAGTGCTCTGATTATTAGTGCAGCGCCAAACGTGCTGCCCGTCAGTGGCCACCAGTGCTGTGCCAATCAGTGCCCAACAGTTCTGCCCATCAGTTCCCAACAGTACTGCCCAGCAGTGCTGCAAATCTGTGCCTGTCAGTGCTGCCAGTCAGTGCTGCCAGTCAGTGCCACCAGTCACTGCTGCCAGTCAGTGACCTTCAGTGCTACCTATTAGTGCCCATCATTGCCACCTATCAGTGCCCATCATTGCTGCCTATCAGTGCCACATATCAGTGCAGTATCATCAGTGCCTCCTCTTCAATGCCCACCAGTGCCGCCTCATCAGTGCCCATCAGTGCTGCCTATCAGTGCTGCCTATCAGTGTAGCCTCATCAACGCACATCAGTGAAGGAGAAAAATGACCTGTATGCAAAATTTTAAAATAGAAAACAAAGAAAAACCTTTTTTTTAAGTTTTCACTATATTAATTTATAGTGCAAAAAATAAAACACCCAGTTGTGATTAAATACCACCAAAAGAATGCTCTATTAGTGTGAAAAAATGATACAAATTTCATATGGGTACAGTGTTGCATGACCGCGCAATTGTCATTCAAAGTGCGACAGCAGTGAAAGCTGAAAATTGGCCTGGGAGGGAAGGGGATAAAAGTGCCGGTAGGCAAACGGTTAAAAATCAAGCTTAAGCCCACCTCTAGTGCTTCCTTATTGGTTATTTTATGTAACTGGGAAATGTTAATCAATAGGGAAGTAAGAGAGTGAAATGTCAGACTTTTAAAACATAAGTTGCATGTACTTCATCTCCCTATATTTTTGCATCTAGTGATCCTTCAAGCATGCAGAATGGCAGGTATTGGTTCCTTACTTGAACCATTGGGTGAAAAATAAGATCTTCAGCTGCAACCCCTAGTTCTGTCTGCCTGGTTATCTAAAGGACACTGGGATGGTATTGCCTCAGTTGCACAAACTGCACTGGAAATGTTTTTTTTGGGGGGTTACCGTGGACATCTCCACATTATATTCTTCTATACCACATCCTTTTGCTATTAGGTCTATACAGCATAATTTGTATAAATATAGCACATATTCTAAGGATCATCAGGAATTTTTGTTACTTTGTCTTGAATTTCTGTTGACATACAATTATTTTTATTTGATGATGTCTACTATGTGAAAGTTTGTGGAGTGTCCATTGGAGCTAGACTGCCCCCCTTGCTAGAAAAATTGTATAAAAGTTGGTGGGAGGAGTTTTTTTTATCTTCTCCCCCAAAAAAACCTTGACAACACTGTTTGGGTACGGTAGGTTTATTGACAACATGCATCATTTGGGAGGTTGGCGACACTGCCTTGGCACAATTCTTGCTATGTGTCAACTACCTGTGAGTCGAATGATTCAAATTTGAATTTTTTGAATGTCACCATAGAGAGTGACCAGGAGGCAGGTACTACTGTTACTAAAACACATAGAAAGTCTCCCCATACCATTAGATTTGTTCCTGTAGGTGAGTGCTTTAGAGCCAGGAAAAATTCTTGAAATTTTTCATTTTAAAATGTATCAACATCAAAAAGAAACTTAAACAAAGAGGTTATCCAGATTGGTCTGTACAAAGGGGTCTTAACATCTTGTAAACAGAAAATGGATTTTTAGGTAAAGGTCGTAATAGACAATTAATCAACAATATGAAAGATAATAGTTATCTTTATAACCATATACTCGGCCGAGTAGAATCAGATAAAAACATCAATAATACCAACTTCCAATGCTGTTTTCAGACAAACAACTCTACTTTATTTTGTCCAAGGGGTGTCACTTCTCTAGTCGAAGGGGACTCACTTTGGATTCCCTGCTTTCTCCCAGTAAGTCTATTTTTGTTACAGGGGAATCTTTTAATATCAGACAATATATTAATTGTGGCACAAGCTATATTGTCTATCTGAACCAGTGTACAATCTGTTCCATACAATATGTAGGATGAATCATAATCCCTTTACGCACGTGCCTAGGAAAACATTACTGTGATGCTGTGAATGTGAACGCTAAAAACATTTTAAGTGCATCTTAACACTTTAGAGAAGTACACAGCAGAGTGATATCTTACTTTGCTTTTTGTGGCAATGAAAGCGTGCATATTGCAGGCAGAGAAGGTAGCAGATATTGTAAGCTTTTGTAGTGGGAGGTGTGGTGGATCCACAGACTGCAATCCCACACATGACCTTAATTATTGATGGGATGTGGAACTATACCTTAAACAACATCTCCCCCTCTATTTGTCCAATATTTTTATACTTCTATATTTTTTAAGTTTCATCCTTCTCTCTCTTGCTTGACAATGTATTATTATACAATTTTAATACTATTTGGAGATCATTTTTGTATATATATATATATATATATATATATATATATATATACATACTGTACATAATGTTTTGTTATGGCCTTGATCTCCACTTTTGTTTTGTTCTGGTTTTTGTGGATCCATTCCACTGTTACTTTAGACATTTTATTACCAGTTATCCCCTCCCCTTTTTTCTTTTTCATGTGGTGTTGTATGGTTTCATATTGGAAAGTTTAACACTTTATAGTTATTCATGGTTAAGGCCTGATTGGCCGAAACACGTAGGATTTATCAACTGGCTGTTATGTATAATTCCTTAGCAATAATTGGACACTCTTTTGTCAATCACCACTCTGATTGTGCTGGCTGTTTTTTGGGGATTGACAATGGATGGAATGCCTGGGTGGTGAAGTCACCTTTAGGCTTACTATGGGGCATTAGTACAGTTCACAAACCCTCTCACTGATTTGCTGCACTTAAGATAGTTCTGTGTGACTTTGGCTGTATATTTGGGGCCATTATTCAGCTGTAGTTTTTATTTGGGACCAACCATATGCCTCCCTGATGTTACTGAGCTGCATGTTTCTTTGAGCTTCTGCAGAAGAGCTTGGGCAGCATATATGAAAACACTTGTCTTCCCTAAAGTTTTTGCAGCTGTGTAAGATTTTTTCCACTGAACTGTCCTCAGTAACCTCAACTTGGCTTTTCCTCACCAGTTTCATTTTTTTTCACACACCCAAGCCTCTGTCTCTTGGCATTTAGATCCTCTTAATAGGCTGGGGGCAGTCGCAAAGGTTTAAGACTAAGGCTGGCCATACAGTATACAATTTTCTTGAGAATTTTTCTTTAGATTTACCAAAAAACCATATAATATGAGGTCAAACCTAAACAACACTTTCAATTGTATCTAATTGGGCAGACCCTTACACTACATAGTTGAAGGTAAATATAAAGGAAATTGGGCAGAAATTGGACAGAAATTTGTAAGAAAATTGTAAGTGAATGGCCAGTCTAAAACTGGCCATAGATGGCAATTTCAATTTACAACCTGTGGCTGTGTTCGTACAGCCTATGCCTGCTCATACAGTAACATAGCCTGCCTACACCCAACTCCAGGCTTCTCGAGCTACATAAACAAACTTATGATTCATTCTGTAAGGACCACAGTACTTGTGTGAATGAGGACCTGGAAATACTGGATCATGTATGTATACAGGTGAAACTCAAAAAAATTAAGCCATAATCATCACAATTATGACAAATCACGGCTTGAACTATCTTGCTTTGCATGTAAATGAACTTTTGCACGATATTCTAATTTTTCGAGTTTCACCTGTATGTGATCCAGCACACAGAGGCCATTCTGTAGCAGTTAATTTACAGGAGGCAGTCCACAAGTGGTTAGTCTCAAATGTAATACTCTTTTAATGGCCATTTCAAACTACCAGATTTTACAGCCAGGAATATGTAAAAGTGCAAATTATAGCTCTTTCATTCATGTAAAACATGGCATTCTTGAAATGTGGCATATTTACAATGGCATCAGTTATAAAATCCATCCAATCCATTTAAATATATATATATATATAGGACAAAGAGGACAATTATATATATATATATATATTTTTTTTTTTTTTCTTCCAATTGCTAAGTGTTTATTTAATATTTTCATTTTGTTTTTATTTATTTAACATTTTTCAAATTTTTTGACACTTTCAATTTATTTTTCAATTTTTTATTTTATTTTTTTTTTTGTATTTTTAATCACATTATTTGATGTCACATATGATTGGTATATTTCACTTGCATTATTAATATTATATTATTGTCATCATAGTTTTTTGGTATGGCATCTTATTTTTGATCTTTGATTGGATAAATAGGTTATACCCACTGAACATTA